AAAGTACGGCCAGTATGAGCCCAAGTGTTAGGCTACAGTAGGGATCATTATTGCTAATAGCGATCTGTGAGTTTCGTGCAAAAACGCATGATTACACCGGAAAGCCTGGTTCGTTCCAGCCTGGGTTGTGTTTTCGTGCACACATGCAAATGTGAAAGCGCACATTGCGACGACCCCGGTGTGTGTGTGTGCTTTTGTCCGTATATTTCAACTCGGCTCCCAAGCAACCTCCGGCACCAAAATTTTGCTGGTGGGTTCCTTCCCCGGAAAAGTGCCATCCCAGGATCGCGGTACCAACTCTCACGCAAGTTTGGGCCCCGCTTATGAGGAAGTGAGAGTTTTGGCGGGAAAATCGCCAACTCGGGAACCATAAAAGCTAGAAAGCTGAAATCTTGGGGTTATGTAATCCGTCTACATAGAACTCAAAGATTTCAAATTCAGCCCCAGCTGTGCTTGGTTCCCGCGTATGGCCCCGTGAGGATTCCTGGCGCAAAAATCGCTAACTCGAGGACCGGGAAAGTTGGGAAGCTGAAATTTTTAGAGAATATTCTTAGCACATGTGCAGTTTAAACTTATCAAACTCGTTCCCCGGGCATGAGTTATTATCACTTACGGCCCCGTGAAAGCTTTTGGCAGGAAAATTGCTAACTCAAGAACCAGAAAATTTGGAAAGCTGAAATTTCAATGAAATGTGCCCTGCCCAAGTACCGTGTAGGCAATTAACTTTCCGGACTTCGAGGACCAGTATATCATAAATTTCTAGCTACTGGGTTTCCGAGCGAATCCTACTACGGCATGAAGAACTGCAAAAACGCATGATCGCACGGGCCAGCCCGGTGCGCATCGCCAATAATTTGAAAATGACCCAGCTGCTCAATGAGTAATTTTCCCGTCAAAAATTTAAGTGCCCGTGCATAAGAACTACACGTACGTGAAGGTGGAGTTTGAAACCTTTAAGCTGTATTTGGATGGGGAATATTCTCCTAAAATCTCAGCTTTCCAGCTTTTCTGGTTCCCGAGTTACATATTTTCCCACCAAAAAAGTTCCACGAGCCGCATTTGAGAACCGCGTAAGCCTGGGGGCTGAATTTGATAATTTTTGAGTGGTACACAGACTGGGAACATCTCCTGAAAATTTTAGCCTCCCAGCTTTGCTAGTTCCCGAGTTAGCCATCCTTCCGCCAAAAATTTCCACTGGCCGTACGTAAAAGCCACACATGCCTGGGGGCTGAACTTGATAGCTTTGTGCATAAGCTGGGAACATTCCTTGAAAATTTCACCTCCCAGCTTTCCTTTTTCCTATGTTAGCGCATCAGGAACCCTCGGGGGGAGGGGGAGCTGTAAGCGGGGACCACGCACACCCGGGGTGAATTTGAAATCTCTGAATCGCTAACTGGGGAACTGGAAAAGCTAGAAAACTGAAGTTTTCAGATCCCAAAATTTCATCTTTCTGGCTTTTCTCGTTCCCGAGTTAGCAGTTTTCCCGCCAAAACTTTCATCCTCCTGTACGCGGGGCGCGGACCTGCGTAAAGGTTGGTATCGCGATTCTGGAATGGCATTTGGCCTAGGAACCCACTAGCAAAATTTTGGCGCCGGAGCTTGCTTGGTTGCCACGTTGAAATACCCAGACAGACGAACATACAAGCACATACACACACGCGAACATACGTACACACAGACAGGGTCGCCGCAATATGCGTTTTTGTAATTTGCATATAGAGTAAAAACGCACAATAATAATTCTGGATTATTTTCAGAAAAGCTTGGTACCACTTAGCAAATAATCATAACTTACAGTTTGTTAAGCAATAAAAGGAAAATTCCATCATGCAGTTGCAAAGAACTGCTAAAATTGATAAATTCAACATTTCCTAAATTCTAGCTTTTGAAAAAATCCAGGCTTGCTTCACTGAACGCACTTCTAAAAGCCACCGCCGGCCGCACGAACGGTGGCAAACATATGAAGTAATTCAATTTATATCGATTACACTTTTACATTGCTTCATCTTTCCGTCAAAATAAGCCAATTTCAACGTATCGAAGAAGCGATGGATGAATGGAAATATGCTTGAGAGAGTTATTACATAACAGAATTATCGGCTGCCGAAAAGTCGTTGCTGGTAGAACGTTTTGTCGATGCTGCGCACGAGACAGCTACGGTACCATTATAGTAACGAGTGCCATTCCTACTACAACTGCTCTCAGCTTGTTGCTCCTCCTGCTGCTGCTTGGCTTTTCGTCTTGAGTCCAATTTTTCTCTGTGTTTTCGATCCAACACGTCCTTGAACGGTTCCATATATATAGCAATTGGTTTATTCAGCCAACGATGCTTGCATATTTCCAACAAATCCGGTCTTCTGGATGGTGTTACCGCAAGGCACTGACGCAACAAATGCTCACAGTCTGTAAATGACATGCAGAAAATGAATAGAAAGAGACGAATGGAAAAGAAACTCGTTGGACTCAAAAACAAGTATAACTCTTAGCATCATCGCGCTACTTTCCGCTGTTTCATACCTGTCACTTGCAAAGCTATGAAAATGAACCAAGAAAAAAAATGAGAAAGTACAGTACCCACAGCCCTGGCGGATAACACTTGCGTATGGAAGTTTCTGTGTTATTTCAAAAATATCAGGACGGCCCGAGCTACCAGTCTGGGTATACCCTGTCAGCGATGTTACTAGAATTTTCCCATACGTTAAGCGCAGTCATGCCAGGTCCTTTCGTCCTGGGCCGCGAAGTTCCAGACTCTACCTACAAGTTTGACGCATGTGCGTCACTTCTTCGGGAGTTGTTCAAGTGATCATTTATCTTCTAGTAAGCATTTTCACCGGTTGTCGGCAAGCTGAGCAATATGTTCTGCCCATCAGATTGTACTTTCTGCCTAACAAGTGATCTGCTTTACAGAAGTGGAAAAAAAGAATCAACGACCTCTGAAGTTATAATGTGACACCACTTCATAGCCAGAAAACAAAAATCAAGGTAACAGGCGCAGTTGCTCGAAATGTTTGTACTTCTTACTAAAGCTCGCACACAAAACGGGGCTTTCGTAATGTAAATTGAAAGTCAAATTTCAGGAGATACCTTTGGAAATGTGTTTTGGAATAATTAGTCTGCCCAAACATATCTGAATTTCGTTCTGAAACGGCAGACATCCGGAAACCATAACATACAACACAATACCCAGCGACCATACGGTGGCTTCCAATGGCATATAAACCAATCGTTTGAACCATTCAGGTGGGCAATAGGAACGAGTGCCTATAACAAATATCCAGACTGACTTGACTGAAATGATTATGTTCAATAGAGGCAACACATATTCTACAAACAGTCTCAAGTTTTGATGGAATTTTTATAAAATAAGTGACCTTGGAACTCCTTTATACCCGCCTCAGAAATAAGCGCCGCGGCTCCGAAGTCAACAAGCTTTGCCTCGCCCGTGTGCATGTTTATAATTATGTTCTCATCCTAAAAAGATAAAAAGTCTATTTATTCCACGGATGGTGCCATCATGACATAAAAAAAA